TCTCGAAGGAGCAAGGCCCAGGCCCAGGCTCATCCCTGGTTCTTTCTTGTCTCACCCGTGGCCCTCAGTTTTAAAGCTCAAAAGCCAAGAACCGGCCTCTGCCACTTTCCCTTTGGGCAGCGACAGAGGTGGCCTTCCTGTGGGAGGCTCACAGGTGGCAAGAATTCCGGGGAGAGCAGGTGGGAATTCGGGGGAGAGCAGGTCAGTGATGGGGTCCTGGTGCCCTCAGTTGAGGCAACTCCTCCCCACGACAGGGGCACAGAGTGAGACTTTGAATGGATGCCCCTGAGTCTCCCATCAGAGGGGAGCAGGACAGACGTCCTGGTGTGTCCCCACCTGGCCCTGCCCAGCCGGTGCTGGAGCTGCTGCTCAGGCACACGCCCAGCTGCTCACCTCTGAGTGAAGGGTCATGGCCACATGTGGGCGGCAGCCATGCTGAGCCTCAGCGAGTAGATCCAGCCAGCCACCCTACTCAAAACTGCTAGACCAAATTACCTATTGATTTCTCCATTACAAATGTGTTTTATTTTATCTTCCTGTGGGCTTTTATTGGCCATAATCGTCTTTCTGGAAGGCCTCCTTGCTCAGACTGGTGACACGATTTTTTAATGCATGACATGCAGCGTTATTCCATGTCCCGGGAACATGAGCCAATAAATATGGGAGAAAGACCACTTCCCTCAGGGGCTTGTTCATAGCGCCACCACGACGTGATGGAACAGTCTAGCCCCACGAGTGGCCCCGTCCCAGCCAGCTCCTGGAGGGCCTGGGGGAGCAGCTGCAGGCATTGGCGTGGTCAGCTCTCGGGGGGACCCCAACACGATGTGGGTGCAGGTAGACGCTGGGAGCTTGGAGGCATCTGGAGTCCAGAGACAGAGGAACCAAGGCCAGACCTGGAGGAACCTGAGACCCCTGGTAGAACCTTCCAGAGGAGGGTGCTGGGTTATTCTGGATCAGGCGTCCCATCAGACTTGCAGTCAGGTTGGGCCGTGGAAGGTCCTGCAGGGTGATAGCTGCAGGTGCGAGACCCCTGTGTGGCGCACACAACCCCCAGATGGTCCTGGGCAATGGTGGTGAACAAGGGGGTGCCCACCCCCTATATCTCCTAGGCACCCATGGGGTACAGATAACCCACACTGGCGCTGTGCTGGGTGCTGGGGAGGCAGAGGTACAGGGCACAGCCCCTGCCCCGGGGGTGGCAGAGTCAGGGTGGGGGTCGTGCACCAAAGCAGTGAGAGGTGACAATGTGCATCATGGAGCCACGAGGCATCTCACTCTGGACCCAGGGAGGCTTGCAGGGACCACCCCTTCCTTCAGATGGACACCCCTGGGGAGGATGAGGGCTCACCTAAGCATGGTGTCGCGGTGATTGCGTGTCACCCCCAGGGGCAGTGCAGGGACAGTGGGGATCCGGGACCAGAACTGTGATCTCTGTCCCTCCCTGCAGACCCTCCTGGAGGCAGTCATGGGCTTCCAGGAGCGACCGTCTCAGTTTTCCTTCCATGCTCATCCAATACTATTATTTAGGCAATTTTATTTTTTGAGACGAGGTCTTACTCTGTTGCCCAGGCTGAAGTGCAGGGGTGCGATCACTGCTCACTGCAACCCTGACCTCCCAGGCTCAAGCACTCTTCCTACTTCAGCCTCCTGAGTAGCTGGGACTACAGGTGTGAGCCACCACGCCCAACTGATTTCTTTCTTTTTTTTTTTTTTTTAGAGATGGCATCTCACTATGTTGACCAGGCTGCTCTCGAACTCCTGGGCTCAAGCTATCCTCCTGCCTCAGCTTCCCGAAGTGTTGAGATTACAGGCATGAGCCACTGCACCTGACCTTATTGATGCGATTTTTAAATTTCTTCTTTTTGTACTGAAATATTTTATTCAGTAGCAGTGCCTAGAAGTCCTGAGTGTGACATACCAGATTATGTGGTTGTTCCTGCTTGGAAAGATCAGATGCTGAGAGGCTGTGGTGGCCCCAGAGAAAGGGCAGGGTTGGGTCTGTTCAGCCTCAGGTGCTTCACTGCCGGCCCTAAGCATGGCGAGTGGGGTTCAGAGCAACAGCACCTTGTGGGTGGAACACCCCAGGTTCCTTCCTGTCTCTCCTGTGGCCCTCAGCTTATGAAGCTCCAAAGCCACAAACTGGCCTTTTCCGCTCCACTGTGGACAGTGTCTGGCCTTCCTGCCTGCAGGCGGCTCACAAGGGGTGGGAACATGGGGAGATCACATCGTTGGGGGACATGGTGCCTTCCTGCTTCTTGGGGAAAGCTGATTGATCCCTCCAGCAGATAAGTTCCTCTCTAAGTGGAAATGTCTTACACTGCTTATCATGAAGGTTTCCAGGCATTCCTAGAAGTAGGAGGAACCGACATGATTGCCTGGAAGCACTGTGTCGTGATGAATGTGTGGAACCGTGTCATGATTGTGTGAAAGTGCGGTGTTGTGGTGATTGCGTGGAAGTGTGGTGTTGTGGTGATTGCATGGAAGTGTGGTGTCATGATTGCGTGGAAGCGTGGTGTGATTGCGTGGAAGCGTGGTGTCATGGTGATTGTGTGGAAACGTGGTGTCTGTGTGGAAGCGTGGTGTCTGCGTGGAAGCATGGTGTCAGGGTGATTGCATAGAAACATGGTGTCGCAGTGATCGCGTGGAAGCGTGGTGTCGCGGTGATCGCCTGGAAACGTGGTGTCGCGGTGATCGCATGGAAACGTGTCGCAGTGATTGTGTGGAAGCGTGGTGTCACGGTGATCGCGTGGAAGCGTGGTGTCGCGGTGATCGCCTGGAAACGTGGTGTCACGGTGATCGCATGGAAACGTGTCGCAGTGATTGTGTGGAAGCGTGGTGTCCCGGTGATCACGTGGAAGCGTGGTGTCGCGGTCATCGCGTGGAAGCGTGGTGTCATGGTCATCACGTGGAAGCGTGGCATCATGTAAATCTCACAGTGATGGGCATGCTGCTGCACAGCAATCTGCACTTTTTGCAGGAGTACTCTTTTTAATTACCAGACCTCATGATCCTCCACATCTAAATCTGTCAGAATGCATCACCCTCAAAAGCACATTTTGGGCAGAGCGCAGTGGCCCATGCCTGTCATCCCAGCACTTTGGGAGGCCGAGGCAGGTGGATCACCTGAGGTCAGAAGTTCAAGACCAGCCTGGCCAACATAGTGAAACCTCATCTATACTAAAAATATAAAAATTAGCCGGGCATGGTGGCAGGCACCTGTAATCCCAGCTACTGGGGAGGCTGAGGCAGAAGAATCGCTTGAACCCAGGAGGCAGAGGTTGCAGTGAGCCGAGATCATGCCACTGCTCTCCAGCCTGGGCAGTGGAGGAAGACTCTGTCGGAAAAAAAAAAAAATCAAAACTATATGATAAGAAATAGATAGCAAACTCACAAACTAATACTCCCAGCTCTGGCCTTGACCCCATTCCTCCTCTCTAATAATGATGATCATTTTTATTAGTTTTTGCTTTATCCTCATGTTTCTTTCTGCAAACATGAGCAAAAACGTATACAAATCGTATTTTTCTCCCTGTTTTGCACAAAAGGTGCACGCTATGTGGGTTGCTGTTTTGGCCACCAGTAGATCCTGGAAGCCTCTCCTCTTCAGCACACAGAGGTTGTTCTCATTCTCTTTACAGCTGCAAGTGTCTCCCCGCACAGATGTACTGCAGGCCGTGCAGCCAACCATAGCTGATGGATGTTTGGGTCGTTTCCAGCGTATTGTCTCTGCGTATACTACACAATGAATACTCTGATGCATATGTTACTTTGCACATATCTAAGCAGAATTTTTAATGCAATTGCAACACATTGTGTTGTGCTTTTTCCAGTGAGACTGTTGCAAGCTTTGCCACTGAATGTCTCAGGGCCCCAAGCTGTTTCCACGTAATTTCCCTCCCTCCCCAAAATGTGTAGGAAAGGCTTGAGCGAAGCTTTTCTGATCATACAGCATCACTGCGGAACTGCAGCTCTAGCGTTTATCAGCCTGGGTCCTGGTGCACCACAGAATTGTGTGGATGCAGGGGCCAAGGGCAGCAGTGATGGGAGCTGCAGACCTGGCATGGTGGTGTCTGGGGCTGCGGTAACAAATTACCACAAACCAGGTGGGTTACAACAATAGAACTGTCTTCTGTCCCAGCTCTGGGAGTCAGAGACATAAATTCAAGGTGCCGGCAGGAACGGTTTCGCTTGGGAGGTTCTAGAGGAGAACCCGCTGCCTGCCTCTCTCCTGTTTCTTGGCCTGTAGCTGCCTCACTCCAGACTGCACCTCCGTTGCCACATGGCTCCTCCCTGCACTTGTGTGTCTCAAATATCCCTCTCCCTTTCTCTCTGTTTTGAAATTTTGGAGAGCCTCGCTCTGTCACCCAGGCTAGAGTGCAATGGTGCGATCACAGTGCACCACAGCCTCAAACTGCTGGGCTCAAGCGATCCTCACACCTTTGCATCCCAAAGCCCTGGGATCATAGGCATGCATGACCACACCCAGCCCTGCCTGTCTCTTATGAGGGCCTCTGTCTTTAACTTACATGTACAAAGACCCTATTTCCAAATAAGGGCCCATTCACAGGTCCCAGGTGGACATGTCTTTTGGGGGCCGCCATTTGACCCCCTGCACCTGGTGAGGCCCCCCTGGCCAACAACGTCAGGAGCCTTCCCCACACTAGGCTCAAAGGAGGAAGGTCAATGGGGTTACCAGGCCAGGAAGAGGGGCTGGAGTCCCGCAGGAGGAGCCCAGCTTCTGCCTCAGCACAGCATTGGACAGGGGCTGGGAGGCCTAGACCCCCTCCCTCTCTCCTCCCATCAGCCAAACCCAGCAGGAACCAGAAGACAAGGGTGCCTGGGAGATGGGACCTTTTGGGGCCTCCAGGCTAAAAAGCAGGGCAGAGAAGAGCCAGACATGGTTCAGAGAAGGCTGGACACCAACCTTCCCGCGTGTCCCCCCACGCCCACCCCCCCGGAAGCTGCGCCAGGTCACTCCCAGCCCCGATCTGTTGTTCCAGGCAGTCGACTACGAGCTCAACAGAGCCTTCATGCTCACGGTGATGGTGTCCAACCAGGCACCCCTGGCCAGCGGGATCCAGATGTCCTTCCAGTCCACGGCAGGGGTGACCATCTCCGTCATGGACATCAATGAGGCTCCCTACTTCCCCTCAAACCACAAGCTGATCCGCCTGGAGGAGGGCGTGCCCCCTGGCACCGTGCTGACCACGTTTTCGGCTGTGGACCCTGACCGGTTCATGCAGCAGGCTGTGAGGTAGGTCCACAGGACACGCCTCGTCCCTGCCTGCAGCTTCCCGGGTTCCACACAGAAGGGTCCAGAAATACCCCATGAAACCCACAGCCCAGAATTCCCCCAGATGGGTGGTCAGGGGCATCCCCAACCTGAGGCACCCTCCAGGAGGGAGCAGCAGCCCTTAGTCCCGGATAGCCAGATGCAGCCCCTGACCAATCATGAGTGTTGTGACCGGCGCTTGCACATTCAGCACTGTCCAGATGCAGGCCGGCCCCGATCCTGGCTGCACTCTCATAGCCATGAGACTCAGCAACCTCCTGCCCTTTCTGTTCCTCAGTGTCCTTGTCCGTTCGATGGGGACGATGAGGGCATCTGCCCATTGGGTCCTTCTGAGTTGAGGCCACCCACTACTGGATGAACTCGGTGCCTGTAGGCCACAGGCCTGTCCTATGATGTGGCGGGGGCAGTCCAAGGTAGAGGGGAAGCCCTAGAGGAGGACAGGGCCTGGGGGTCTCCAAGGAGACGGAGACACTGGCCCAGGCCCAGGCCCTGGAGGTGTGGCCAGTGCAGCTGCCTGATCGGGGCCACGGAGGCCTGGGATCCAGGGCGGCCCCGCCCACCCCAGCCTTACCTCCCCCCGCACTTGTGGTCTCCACAGATACTCAAAGCTGTCGGACCCGGCGAACTGGCTGCACATCAACACCACCAACGGCCAGATCACCACAGCGGCAGTGCTGGACCGCGAGTCCCTCTACACCAAAAACAACGTCTACGAGGCTACCTTCCTGGCAGCTGACAACGGTGTGGCCCCCTCCCAGGAGGCAGCTGTCTCGGCGGCCTTCCCGCGTCCTGGTTCTGTGGGCGAGGGAGGGCGCTGGCCAGGCCCCGAGAGGGCAGCAGGCATCCAGAGGGTCACCCGGAGGGGCTGAGGGGACGTCTGCGCAGACAGCGCTGATAGCGGTGATCGGGGTTGCATCATCTCAGGGCCCCCAGGCCATGCTCCACCTCCACCCATTCCCGTGTCAGTCATTGATTCCGCCCCCTCCCCAGCATTCACTTGCTTGCTCGAAGGTGTGCCCCGTCCATCCCCCCAACGTCACTCACCCACAGGCTCCAGGGGCATCAGGGCACTGGTCATCCCAGCCTTGTCCTTGCTGCACTCTGCAACCTGAACTGCATCTCAGTTTTGCTGCCTGTAAACTGGGGCATTGGAACCGGGTCCACAGTTTTCAAATGCTTTTAGCTGGCAGCCCTTGCCACAGACCCCGTCCTGTGGGGAAGGCCCAGCCCCACCGGTCAGCAGCCCCTGGGGTGCCACCCTCGTGGCTCTGACCACCCACAGTGCAGACCCCTGTGGCCCTCAGTCACAACAGGAAGCATGAGACCTTCCAGGACCCTGGGAGTCCAGAGGGCAGCGGCAAGGTCCCGGAGCAGGTGGCACGGCAGACGACCTCAGGAGCCTGGATGGGAGGGCGAGGATGGGCTGTGCAGAGGCAGCAGGAAAAAGGTTTGAGAGCACGCGGGACTTTCTGAGGGACGTGGGCTGGCATCTCGAGGAGTGGCCACCCCTTCCTGGACCTGCAGTAATCCTGCGAGCCGGCCGAGCCCCCCACAGGTCGCACGCTCTCAGAGGCATGGAGGCAGGGTGGGTGGGAGCAGAGATTCTAAAACCGAAGATCAGTCCAGTACCACCGCTTCCCAGTGGGAAAAGACCTGACCTCTCTGTGCCTCAGCTTCCGCCTCTGCCAAGTTGGGGGAGTCTTAGTACCCCTGAGAATCAAACGAGTCTCAGTCATCAGAGCACTGAGGAAGGGCCTGGCTCAGGGCAGCATGGGCTCCTGTTTGCTGTGGCCGTGATGACTGCCCGGCCTGCTGTTCACTGAGTACCGGCCGAATGCCTGCGGCTGCTCATCGGTGAGCAGCACACGGCGATGCCCGGCCCTGGCGTGGCTGACAGCCCGAGTGTGTCGGCTGGAACCCAGGTCAGTGAATACCGATGGAGGAAACTGCAGCACGATTGAGGCTTTTTTTCCTCTCACGTCCAAGAAGCCTGGACGCAGGCAACCCAGAGGCAGATCCCAAACCCGGGGCTCCGACTGTGCCATGTCATGGTCCAGAATGGCTGCTGGAGCTCCAGCCATCACAGCCACGTTCTGGCAAACAGAAGGCCTTGTGGGGAGGGCACAGGCACACACCTGCTCTACTAAGGCCTTTCAGAAAGCCCCATGCAAGTCCTCCACCCACAGCTCACAAAGCCCAGAACTTACTGATGTCGCCACCCCTAGCTGCAAGGGATGCTGGGAAATGGGGTCTTCTCGGTGGACAGTGATGATCCCAGACAAAATGCAGGACTCTGATTATTTTATTAAAAGGAAGCAGAAAATGGATATTGGGGATGACTCAGCAGTGTCTGCCCCAGGGAGACCGGAGAGAAACCAGTCACACAGATGATTCAGGCAACAAGAAGAGCTGGGAGAAAACAAAACCGGTGGCTGGGAGGCAGTGACCAGGGGCTCCGCCCTGAGGAGCTGACCTTGGGACCAAGAGCTGTGGAACCAGAGAAGCAAGCAGGGGAAGGTGGGGTGACAGAGGAGGGTCACAGAGTCGGGAAACGGTGTGCGCAAAGGCCCCGAGGCGGGGCCATGCCTGGTAGGCTCTTGGAACAGCTGTGCATGAAGACTCATGGGCAAGGGTCGTCACTGCGCAAACGCTCGTCCCATAGCAGGTGAAAACAGGACGTGGTCACCTCCCTGCCAGCCTCCCCAGCCATCGCCGCCTCCCCCGCCGGGGTCCACAGAGCCAGGGCCGTGTAGCTGTGCAGCTACCTGTGAGCCCAGGGCCCTGGTCAGGGGAAGCGTCTCCCCTTGACGGCCCTCCTGCTGCAGCTCAAGCCCTGAGGTTAAATTAGAAAGTGATTGTGAGCCTGGGCTGGGCCCAGTGGTGCACACCTGTAATCCTAGCACTTTCAGAGGCCAAGGCTGGTGGATCATGAGGTCAGGAGTTCAAGACCAGCCTGGCCAACGTGGTGATACCCCATCTCTACTAAGAAAATACAAAAATTAGGCCGGGCGC